TTCCCATATTAGGGAAGTTTTCAACTATAATCTCTTCAAATATTTTCTCAGTCCCTTTCTTTTCCTCTTCTTCTTCTGGGACCTGTATTATTCAAATGTTGCTGTGTTTAATATTGGCCCAGAGGTCTCTGAGTCTGTCCTCAATTCTTTTCATTCTCTTTTCTTTATTCTGCTCTATGGTAGTTATTTCCACTATTTTATCTTACAGGTCACTTATCCGTTCTTCTGCCTCAGTTATTCTGCTATTGATTCCTTCTAGAGAATTTTTAATTTCCTTTATTGTGTTGTTCATCATTGTTTGTTTGCTCTTTAGTTCTTCTAGGTCCTTGTTAAAGGGGTTTCTTGTATTTTATCCATTCTATTTCCAAGATTTTGGATCATCTTTACTATCATGACTCTGAATTCTTTTTCAGGTAGACTGTGTATTTCCCTTCATTTTTTTGGTCTGGTGTTTTTTCCTTGCTCTTTCATCTGCAGCATATTTCTTTGTCTTCCCATTTTGCTTAACTTACTGTGTTTGGGGTCTCTTTTTCACAGGCTGCAGGTTCGTTGTTCCCGTTGTTTTTGGTGTCTGCCACCAGTGGCAAAAGTTGGTTCAGTGAATTGTGTAGGCTTCCTGGTGGAGGGGATTGGGGCCTGTGTTCTGGTGGATGAAGCTATATCTTGTCTTTCTGGTGGGCATGACCGCATCTGGTGGTGTGTATTGGGGTGCCTGTGACTTTATTATGATTTTAGGCAGCCTCTCTGCTAGTGGGTGGGGTTGTGTTCCTGTGTTGCTAGTTGTTTGGCATAGGGTGTCCAGCACTGTAAGTTGCTGGTCATTGAGTGGAGCTGAGATTTAGCATTGAGATGGAGATCTCTGGGAGAGCTTTCGCCGTTTGATATTACACGGAGCCGGGAGGCCTCTGGTGGACCAATGTCCTGAACTCGGCTCTCCCACCTCAGAGGCAGAGGCCTGACTCCCGGCTGGAGCACCAAGACCCTCTCAGCTACATGGCTCAGAAGAAAAAGGAGAAAGAAAGAAAGAAAACTAAAATAAAATAAAGTTATTAAAATAAAAGTTAAAAATTGATTTAAAATAATAAAAATTAAAAAGTAGTAAAAAAAAAAAAAAGAAAAAGAAAGGAAGAAAGAAACAAAGAAAGAAAGAAGTGAGCAACCAGAACAAGAAACAAACCCACCAGTGATAACAAGTGCTAAATAGTATACAGAAAAAAAAAAAAAGGACAGAAAGAACCCTAGGACAAATGATAAAAGCAAAGCTATACAGACAAAATCACACAAAGAAGCATACAAATACTCACAAAAAGAGAAAAAGGAAAAATATATATATATCTATATATATAAAAAAAGGAACAGAGCAACCAAATCAATAAACAAATCTACCAATGATAATAAACTCTAAATACTAAACTAAGATAAATGTAAAACCAGAAACAAATTAGATGCAGAAAGCAAACCCCAAGTCTCCAGTTGCTCCCAAAGTCCATCGCATCAATTTTGGGATGATTTGTTGTCCATTTAGGTATTCCAGAGATGCAGTGTATACCAAGTTGACTGTGGAAATTTAATCCGCTGCTCCTGAGGCTGCTGGGAGAGATTTCCCTTTCTCTTCTTTGTTCCGCACAGCTCCTGGGTTCGGCTTTGGATTTGGCCGCGCCCCTGTGTGTAGGTCGCCTGAGCGTGTCTATTCCCCACCCATACAGGAGGGGGTTAAAGGAGCAGGTGATTAGGTGGCTCTGGCTCACTCAGGCTTGGGCAGGGAGGGGTATGGAATGCGGGGCAAGCCTGCATCGGCAGAGGCAAGTGTGATGTTGTAACAGCCTGAGGTGCGCCATGTGTTCTCTTGGGGAACTTGTCCCTGGATCGCGGAACCCTGGCTGTGGCGGGCTGCACAGCCTCCCAGGAGGGGAGGTGTGGATGGTGACCTGTGCTCGCACACAGGCTTCTTGGTGGCTGCAGCAGCAGCCTTAGCGTCTCATGCCCGTCTCTGGTGTCTGCTCTGATAGTTGCGCTCGTGCCTGTCTCTGGAGCTCTTTTAGGCAGTGCTCTGAATCCCTTCTCCTGGCACACCCCAAAACAATGGTCTCTTGCGTCTTAGGCAGTTCCAGACTTTTTCCTGGACTCCTCCCGGCTAGCTGTGGCGCACTAGCCCCCTTCAGGCTGTGTTCACGCAGCCAACCCCAGTCCTCTCCCT